TATCGTATTGTATTCTCGTTTCATCTGGGTAAACGGATCAATCACCCTAATCCGGGCTGAGACAGAAAGGTACGATATTGTTCGCTTTTCTAAGGTGACCACTAAGTCTTTGGCCTCGGGAACAGGCTTCTAGGAGCACAACGGACTCGGCGGGAGCAAAATTTCAGGTGAACTTTGACCCGGGCCAAGACTTTTCTTTGTTCTGATGTGAAAACAGGGTCTATCACTGGTCTGCCGACCGTCCGGGAACTTGAGTAAGACGAGCTAGTGTAAGACCCTGTTTACATGGAGTGGGGGACCCCGGTCTAGTGGGGTAGGTTTCTTTTGTTTTGTGTCCCCCAGAGCGTGAAAACAAAAGAAACCAACCCCACTAGACCGAGGTCCCCCACTCCATGTAAACAGGCCCTAAGATAGAACTAATGTGTTTAATTGCCAGTAGGCTGAGTTTTTCCGAGTTATCTGATAATATTTCGCTTGTGTCAAACGTGAGAAGATTATGCGTGGTTGTCGACAGTCTTACCAGTGACGCGAAAGTGTGTGATTGCAGTGATTGTGTGATTTCCGCATGGTGTTGACAGGTATGTGATCGCGTGGTTGAACTGCGGTTTCGCCAAAATATTCTGTGCCAGCGATAAAAACGTTTCGTCGGTGTTTAGCTTAGCTGATTGCTCCTTACAAAAACCATGAATTCTAGACTCAGGAAAATTGAATCTAGGTCTAGTTTCAGCAGACTCTTGGCTTTGAACCAAAAGGCCGGTTTTGCAGATAAGAAGGTGATAATTTGTGTACAATGTTTCAATCAGTTTGTTGTCTATTCCATGCCGCTGAAATCCTGTCATTTATCAGGGGCACCCAAAGATGGTTTCCTTCCTAAATACATTGAAAACACTTGTTAGGCTATCCAGAGTACGTTAAGATATCTAGAAATGCATTCTGAGCGGCGCTATAAAATTTGTATCAGTTCAGTCATCCTAGGGCAACTTGTGTCTTTTCGAAATTACAAGGGCTTGAGTATTATTTTTCTGAAATTTGACATATTACGAAAGTCGTGAGACATTTTCTGATTCCTAACGCCATCACATTTTTGAATCCGAAAATTTTAGGTTCGCTTTTTTTTTCTACGAAAAATAGCCTAACTTGGGAAGTTATAGTATGAAAATTAAACTTCAGAAAATCGTAGGGAATTTATAAGATAAGTCGAAAATTGTACATGAATGGAACAATCATCTAGAAATATTTAGTCGTCCTCAAGTAATAGAAAATTCTATATTAGACCGCGAAAAAGCACACTTTTGCTAACTATTATAAGTTGTTATGTGAGCCCTTACCAAGCACTTTTTGGCTGCATTTAACTTAACTTAAAAATTTCAAGACTGAAATGACACCGGTTTGAAACTTTTATACGAAGTCAGATTACGGAATAAATGTTTTAAAATTTACGTCATTTATACTAAGAGACGAGCTATCCGTCTAGACGGATTATCCGTCAGACGGATAATTCGTCTAAGTATAAATCCAAAGACCAATTTTGCTCCATAATTCGTCTAGATATTTTACGCTGGTTACACGACGGGTGTTTCAGTGTTGAGGAGCCAAGTTGCGAAAATATACAAACCAGTCCCTCTCGTGTGGAAACTTCGTCAAAAAACCGTCTACGTTCCGTCTAGATATAAATTTAGAGACAAATAATCCGTCTAAGACGAATTATCCGTCTGTTAGCACGTCTTGAAGACGTGATAACAGACGAATCAGCCTCAGACGACTTTTTCTCCATAATTCGTCTTAGCTTCGAATTTATACTAGAGACGAATTATCCGTCTGGGACGGATAATTCGTCTATAGTATAAATTCGGCCATTATGAAATATGGACTCGTTGAAATCGGCTTTTATATTAGGGACCACTAACTTACTGCCCGGCGCAGTTAAAGGCTTTTAATCGGCCTAGCTTTGAGGTGTAAAGTGATCAATTGGTGCAACACTAAATATTTAAGACAACAAAGGTTACGATTTAATCAAAATGAAGCATAGGAAAAATTACTACGTCGCTGACGTTTTTCTGTAATTGAAACCTGTGACCTTATTTTTTTTTATATGTCTTTCTCTTTTTCTATTACAGAAAACGTTTCTCTACGATGAGGCCCTTTGGAGCAACAAGGAAACCTTTAACGTTATTGGAGGGAAGACTGGATTTGACGACCATGAAACGAAGCTTCCCACCTACTGGAACACATCCTTCACCAAGATCTGCCTCGGTATGAAGATCAATGACAACCAGCCCAAGTTTATTGTTATCAACCAGCAGGCCAACTCCTTGTACTCTCTGATCGCTGATGGGCAATACCGCAACACCTTGCTGGGTCGTGACACGTGGAAGTCGCTGATTGGTTCTAAAGCCTCCTTGCAGTACAACTGTAACAAGGAAGGGTTCAATGCTGTTGGTGGTAGTAGTCGTCATTCCAAAGCAAGAATCGGTATCATTAGTAACCAGCAAAACAGTTGCGCCTCTTGCGACTCTAGAATTGGATTTGGCACTGGTGGATTGCACGACAACAGCAACTCATGTGGAAACGAGGCTACACATGAGTCAGATAATCGCGATAAGCATATTAAGACAATGGGATACATTTTAGTGCAGTAAAAAGAAACTGATCTGGGCTAATTTACTTTTGGCGCCAAACGAAAGCTACCTCATCTAAACTCTACATCAAGTTCGTTTTTTGTGCATAAACAATAGACTATTTATAGATTGAATTAAAGTAAACCATTTCCATTAGAAATTACATACTCGGCTTCGCCTCCAGTTTTTAAACCTCATAATCCACCCTGCTCGTTTTTTAAACAGTACGGAAAACGGTCAAGTTAACCCAGGCGATTTAATTCAACATATGTTATTGTTCATTTTTAATATACATTTAAAAATTAACAATAGTCGATAAATAATATTCAATATAAATTATCTAGGGCTATCAGTCTTAGCTAACTGTGATAACAGAGAGTTTTTGCTACGACGACGGGAACGGTAACGAGAAGGTCTAAAAAAACAGTTGGTTTATTGAGCAAAACAACAAGTTTGCACGTGCATCACGCTTTTGTGTACATTTCTTTCTGCATCACTACGACGTGAAAATGTCTAGGTTTTATGGAGGACGTAAACAAGCGACGACTAAATTTTCTTTCTCTATGTAAACTTGACTGCGGTCGGTCCCCAAGAAATCAACTCCAGGGAAATTTGCGGCCTACATTAGACATTTTCAGCGAATTGGAATAAACGCGACAAAGTTTGAAAAAAATTCCTATTTATTTTAAAGGTGACGTTTTCGCTGCCGCCGCCGTCGTCGATGCCATTAGGGAACTTAAGATGGAGACGTTTTCGGGGCGACGGCGACCGGACTGGCAGAGAAAGCCTAGAACTGAGGCAGCCGTCGCTTCCCGTCAAAACTCGAACATTAAGATCGCGGTGAACTCAGGAGGACGGCGCCTTAGAAGAATACCGAAGAGGAAAATATGGCTTCGCATAAAGAATTAAGAGAATAAATATTTGCTATGCAGACAACATTTATCGGATAAAGAGTTTCTCGTTTTGTGGGAAAATTAAGAGTCGGGACAGTTACGACCCGTTCACGCTAAAAAAACAGGCGGGATGAAGCTGAGTGCAAGGCAGAATTTTTTGTTGAAAAAAAAAGATCTCCACAGGCTTGCCGAAGCCTTGCAAATTCCAAGAACATTAAAATGCTACCAAGGAACCGTATTCTTAGTTTGGTATTGAAATAATTCCCGGGAAATACTTGCATGCAACAACAACAACATTATTTCAGTATTCCCACGTTAGTACATGGTATTACCTACTATTCTATATAATTTTCAATGCGTTTTATTTATACGATACTCTAACGAAAAGAGTGAACTAAAAACACACAATTAAAATATCGGAGTTCATATTTTTTGTCTGCATACTTTTATTTGGCTCGTGGGAGAATTTTGTCCATGTCAAGCTCACTTACGGTTGGCTGTTTGCAAAGTTGTATCTTGACCCTGTGACATGAAAACATAGAAACATTCAAAGATGTAAGTTTAGATAACAGAGCTTGGAAATCGAGCTTGAAATACACCGTATTCACAAATGGCGGACACGCGGGAAAAAACTGGTGCCTAGTCATGAAAGCGAGGCGTTGGAGGATAAACAAAAATTGCAAATGAAGACTTTCAGTGAAACTTGCAGAGTGTTTAGCACGGATTCCACCTAAAATAACTTTGTACGGACGTCTTCTTAAATACAATTACGTCGGATGTCTTCTGCTTTTAATGTCAAGTAATGATTTGCTGTTTGCAATCAAAAGGGACACGTATATCTTCAAGGAAACAGGATGATTTTGTAGGTTTCCTGAGCATCAGAAAGCTTGACAAGTGGACGATGGTTGCATTGCCACAAATTAGGGACAAGATGGCGGTTGCGCGTGCGCACTAAGGCCACAATGGCTGCGAATTCGTATAAGAAAATGTATGGAGATAAGGAAACTTTTTCAAATATATCGATTATGAGCTCACGGGTGTTCGGTGCACGACTCGAAACATGTTAAGTGCAGTGTAACCTTTGCATCTGGGTTAAAAATAGCTAATTAGAAGTAGGTTTACTTACTTCCCGAAGTAGCCACTTTTATCTCTCGTTGTACGCTCCATTTCTCCATACATTGTCTTAAAATCTTGCCGAAGTCATGCGAAATACTCGTCGATTAGAGGATAAACCCTTCACTGAAGTAAATGTGCACGACTCGATATTACTTCTGCGATGGAAGATGTTTCCAAAACAGTCGTTAAAACGACGATTTTTGCACTGGAAAATACTTCCAAAGGCGCGTTATTTCCCTCAGTTTTCCATCTGTAGTCCAGTAATGGACGCCATAGTTGCGAATGACACATTTCGGTCGGACAAAGCTTCACAACTCCAAACCTCACCGAATCGCCATTTTGTTCGTTGCTAAAACTCCAGAGAAGGTTCACGGGATATAAACTAGGTTCCAGGCATTCAAAAATCCTCGATTAGCCTACCAGGCTTGGTTTTAAAACAAAATTGTCACGAAAATGTCACGAAAATGTCACGAAAGGTACATTCGCGTACTGTTTTGTTGCTATCAGCCGCTCGGCCGAGTATAAACCTAACATTTTCTTGCTAGGTGTTTTATTCCAGCTTTTTTCTTCGTAAAACGGATCCACAGAGCTCAAATTATTTAAAGAAATCGTAGGGGATACGCTTTCCCTGACTACGATCGTTTTTGTCCGCCACTTGGAAATGAGATTCCGCCGCGAAATGTCCACGATTTCTGGCAATGGCAGAAAAGCGGCAAACATGTTGGCCCAAACTTCACATTGAAACCGAGCACGAAAGCCAGCTAACTGCAATTCGGTGAAACAGAAATATAAACAAATCTTGGTGGCAAGAAAAAAAGAAATTAGCGACATATATATGGCCTACTTGTTAACGCAAGAGACGTCTGCCGTTGAACAAAACAGCTCAAGTCGAGATGGAAAAAAGGAAGACGGGAAAGAACAGGTGACTGAGGTTTCGAAGAAGTTATGTTTGGTTTTTGTTTGCCAGGACATTATTTTCTGGTCTTTATCGATGAAGGACATCAAGTAGAACTATTTTTTTAGTATGAATGCAGGAGCGATCGAGTGGAGTACGCTCAAAATTTCAACTTGTTACTCGGCAGACTCCGTAAGCAGGACACATATCATTTCAGCGAGTAATGTCGTATTTCTTATCTTTGGCTGTTAAGAGTTTTAACTTTATGTTCCATAACATTTTAAAGTTGAAGAATACATAAATAAATAAAATGATGGTCTTCTTAAACGAATCCAGACTCGAATTTAATTATTCGAAACAGAAGCTTGCCGTGTTCAGTCATGACACAAACATTGCCTTAAAAGTTTAACCTAGTAAAATGTAAGCTTTATACCACTTTTTTCAGGGGCACCCAACGAGAATATAGTTCAAAACCACTTAAACATAGCATTGTTAAACGTATTTTAGTATTTAAACGGTAGATATAGGCATATTTTTATCCCCTAAAAATTTTTCATCTGTTCGGATTTCCTAGCTGAAAGTCTAGTGATCCGAAAATCATAGGGATCAAAACTTACCTTTTCGAAAATTTCAGCCAGAAAAAAGGCTTCCGAAAATTCTAGGTGACCTTTTTGGGGTAAAAATCCGTTAAAAATAGGCAAATATACCATTTTTTGGGTGTTCGAAAATCCTAGGAGAGGCAGGCAAGCAAGAAATTTTACAACAAATGTTTCGAAAATTCTAGATCTCAAATCGTCTTCCGAACAGATATTCTTCCGAAAATTGTCGTTGGGTGCCCCTGTTTTTTACCAAAAGCTCTCTGAGATAATGTCCAAAAGAAGATCAGGCAAATAGCAAGCCATAAGATTCACACACTACAGCTTCTAATTTTTGATAAAATTATTTTTAATTATTTCGCAATGAGAAAGAAATCATGAGATATTTGCTACGCTCTGCCAACGTACCTCGAACAATTCGCTCCAAAGCGACGGAATTAATATGATCCAAAGGCAGTTGTAAATACAGACATACATATACACATAGATATGTATAAAATGACACTGACATGAATGAATGAGCCTCGTGAATGAATCTTTCACCCGCTCTCGACTTGACCTGTTTTGTGTAATGGCGGAGGTCTCTTCCGTTGACAAGTAGGCCATATATCCGTCGCTTATTTCTCTTTTTCTCGCCACCAATATCTGTTTTTATTTCTGTTTTACAGAATTGTAGTGGTCTGGCTTTCGTATTCGGTTTCAGTGTGAAGTTTGGGCCAACATATTTTCCGCTTTTCTCCAGTCATTGCCCACTTGTCGTGTCAAGCTTCTGATGCTTGGGAAACCTACAAAATCATCCTGTTTCCTTGAATATATACGCGTCCCTTTTGATTGCAAACAGCAAATCACTACTAAACATTAAAAGTAGAATACATCCCACGTAATTGTATTTGAAAAGACGTCCATACAAAGTTATTTTAGGTGGAATCCGTGCTAAACACTCTGCAAGTTTCACTGAAAGTCTTCATTTGCAATTTTTGTTTATCCTCCAACGCCTCGCTTTCATGACTAGGCACCAGTTTTTTCCCGCGTGTCCGCCATTTGTGAATACGGTGTATGTGCCTCAAAGAAAACAAGGACAATTTAAGAACGATAATCTGCAAAATTTTGGTTGCTAAACGCAACAAACCTGATTGAAATGAAAGTTAAAATACTCACGGACAGACCAGTTTCACGTTGCCGACGGGACCACGACGGCAAGGTGGTGAGCACGAGCATGCGCAATATCTAACAAATGATGATGTCACGTCCGGTTGAAGTTGCCGTCGCCCCGAAAACGTCTCTATCTTAAGTTCCCTATTGAGTCCCTAATATTAAATGACAGTAAACAATAACTATTAAGTTTTTTTCTCTGTTTTACGCTAATCCACAGCTAATACATTGGAATTTGTTGTCTAAAAAGTCCATCATTGTTCCTTTAACCATGGATCCATGCTTCAACTCAATAAACAGTGAATAAATTTAAACAATGTTTTTTTGGCTAAAAATTGCTGGGTTTGAATTACCTAGAGACTGTATTTATTGAGTATTTGATCAATTTTAGTTACTGGAAAACTCTAAACATCCTGATCTGACCACTATATTATAAATTACATTATTTCGTATTTTGCAAGAGCGGTGCGAACATCTTGAGGAAGGGTTAAACAGGTTTTAGCTTTGTCCCATAAAATTGCATTTCAACGCTCTTTCCTTTTAACCTGTCTAAGGGACAGACCATTAGAAAAGTTATGGTGGGGGTGGGGAATTTTCGAGCCGCAGGAATTTTTTTTCGTTATCAAATTCCTTGTATGAATTTTTTTTAGGCCATGGCATGAATATTTTTTAGGGTTAATTGGCGCGCATGATTTTTTTTCATTTAATTTTCCCTTGCTCGAATATTTTTTTTTGTACTTCACCCGCCCCCTGCCCAATGGTCCGTCCCTAAAGTCTCTTTTCGTCACGTCAGTAAATTTTGAAAATGCTGCACTTCAGCTACGATTTCCTTGGTAAAGCTATTCTGTTTCTAAAGGATTTTAAGGGATTGCTTTTCTAAACAATTTCGCCGGCAAGAGAAGGACGGGATATACAGTTAACCAAAGTATAATTCTTTGGTGCTAGAGAGTATGAGTACGAAGACGAGAGTGAAAAAGAAAAAAGCAAAATATTAAATAAGGTTTATTTTTGTCACACATTACTGTTTCATTGTATTTTTGCCTGCGAATAAAGCATTCTCTCTTCGTTCCTCACCATTGCAGGCAAATTGTACCTCAGCAATTGTGTGAATAAAACCGTTGAATTAAATATGAGCATTGGTTATTGTCAATGACTCCTTTTGTTGACACAGGATCTAAAAGAGACTTTCTCTGATTCACATAAACAACTAACCATCCCACCCCTCCCTTACTAGGCAAGCTCGTTACGCCAGCTGGTACCTAAAAAAAAAAAAATCGCCCAGCAGATGGCTTAAACCATGATGGGTAGAACTGATATTGCAAAAAAGGACATTTCTAAATCCAACCTACTTGCTCATAACCTAAAAAAGCATCATTTTTCAACTGAGACTACATATAACCACGAGAACCTCTGTGGAAAAAAAAAATTGATTTGAGCACAGCGCTATTTTCAGGTCTCAAAAAACTCACCAACATTTTTCTTTGAATCTTTTTTAGAACGTTTGCTAACAATTTGAACTAACCCGAACCACGCATCCCGTTCTTTTAGCTGGCGAGGAAATTAAAGTTGGGTTCTTACCACGAGCCGATTTAAAACATAAATTCCACAGCAGGTGATTCCTTTTAATAATGCGTTAATATTGAGTTTGCTAACAGTCAGGTGGACATAATAACATTGTGCACAATAACCACGTATAAACAAATCCTGATACTAATTTGGTCTTGCGTTTCATTCAATTCTGAAGGGTTTCAACTGTATCGAAGTCCCAAAAACTTACGTTTTAATTAACAGACAGTTGATTCTCCCTATTTGGCAAGTTATCATAGAAAGGTTCCCTTTTTCAATGCAACACACTTACTTAAATAAATATTTAAGACCGTATAAACTAACTTAACAGTGCCGAGTAATGATCGCAAAAACCCACGTAGTCTCTAAAGAGACAGTTAACTAAAGAAAAATAAACTTGTAAGTTGACCATCGAGACAATTTAATTAATATTCCCTTGTCAAGGAAGAAGTAGTCTGATATACAGCCATACTGAAATTGCAGTACAGAAAACTAGCGCCAAAGAGTCTTGGAGCTAAAAAAAAGATTATTTATTTTGGTAACGTCTCCTTTAAGGGCCGGCAATACCCAGGCGACGTTTTTTTGTCGGTCTTGTTTTATAAGAATGTGTTATTTTTTTCCAGAGCCTTGATCGTAGTAACCAATACGTTGGCGTATAAAGACCATAAAATGCATGAGGTTTAAAGACTTGTCATTGATTGGCCCTGTCAGACTGAAGCGACGTACCGGACGAAGAAAGTCATAAATAACAAAACTTTAACTTTGCTTTAAAAACAGAGGTTTTAGAACGGCTATCACTCTACAAAACACTGTTTTTGGCACTGTTTTTAGGACAGTTGATTTTCCTTATTTGGCAAGTTGTCATAGGAGGTTCCCTTATGCAACAGATGTACTTAAATATTAGACGCAGTATAAACTAAACATAACTTAACATTGCTAATGATTGAAAAAACCCACATAGTCTCTTATATTGAACAGTATATTCTTCGTACTTGGCAAGTCGTCAAAAAGATCTGTCTATGAAGACTAATAAAGCATAATTTAAATTTTAACTATATTGGTCGAAAAACGCATTAAGCACTCCCTAGCACTGAAATAACATTTTCAAGAACATTTTTAAAGGGAACCTATCATTTCTTTCGTTTTTCAAAAGGAAAATAGAGAATTACATGTAAATTCTTTTTAAAAAGAAAAGTAATAGCCATATTAAATTGCAGTGCAAAAAAAATGTTAAGATATTTTCTAGCGCCAGAGTCTTGGAGCTAAAAAAAATCATTAATTTTGGTAACGTCTCGTTTAAGGGGGCAATACGCAGGCGACGTTTTTTTGTCTTGTTTTTATACGAATGTGTTATTTTTTCCAGAACCTTAATCGTAGTAACCAATACGTTGGCCGTAGAAAGTACATTAGTTGAGGTTTGAAGACTTGTCATTTATTGGCCCTGCCATACTGAGGCGAGGTACCAGACAAAAAAAAATTAAATAACAAACATTTAATATTGCATAAAAAACTGATGGTTTTTAGAACGGCTAGCACTTTGCAAAACGCTGTTTTTGGCAGTGTTTGTCAAGTTCATCCACTGATTTTACGACGTTTGTCAACCGTGAACAGTTTCACCAATCTGAGATGTTCTCTTTATCCTTCTTCCAGCTCCTTCCCTTGTTTTCTGCGATACCCAATGCAGTCTTTGCTCAACTGGAAGGTTGGTGTTTCTTCTCTTTATTGATAGTCGCGTGAAATTGCTCATTCAAAATATTTTGTTTAAATTAGAGGAAAATCTATGAAGAGGCCAGTTCAGGGAAGATGGAGGCAAACAAGTTTTTCTCATTATAGTATTTTGTCACTAACTAACATGGCTCTTTTTCGGTTTCGCTTGGTTAATTACTTTAAAAATCGCTGAGAATTGCGGCCGGCATGTTAGAGAAATGTATGAAAGTTCCTAAAGTTGTACTGGGGAGGGAGCTTAAACAACTAGGACAAAAACGAATACTAGTTTTGCGTTGTTTTAAACTCGATCGCGTTTATAAAGTTGAGTTTTTATCGCGATACTTTATTTTGTTTCGGTCAGTTTGTTAAACGCTGATGAACCCTGTAAATTTTCCTGGAGTTGAATTCTTAAGGAGCAAGAGCCATAATGGTCCCAGTTATGGCACGACATTAAAAGTCATAAATAAATAACAGTAGTGGACTGCCATAAAATCTCTAATTTCATGAAGATGATAATTCCCATTTTTCTTCTCCTGACTTCTAGGCTTTACTTTCAGCTAAGGTTTTTGAATTTCAGTTCACATAACGCGTTCAATTTTTAAAGCCATTCTTAAAGTCAGGAAGTCCGTAAATTAAAAGATATCTTATATGCACGACCCATGCAGTCTAAAAAGGTAAATTTTAAAACCATTCTTTCTTATAAATGATTCTTCAGAATTCACCACCATGTATCATCACAGCCTTCGTCAAGATGTCTTTATAAAGGAAGAGTACCATTATTTAAACGTTCCTAAAGTTGGAACATTTATAGTCGGTATGACAGCCTTGACTGCACCTTTGAATGCCTCGGCAATCCTTCCTGTTTGTCCTTCAACCTGGCAGCTTACAAAGGAGCAGATGGAAAGTTGTGGTGTGAATTGTTATCCTCAGAAAAGTACAGCAATCCTGAGGAATATAAAAGGAACGAGAGTTTTCATCACTTTTCCATCAAGGTGGGGTAAAATCTTTGCATAGAGTTTATTAAAGTAAGATATTTTTTGATATCCCAGTCAATGCGATTCTTAATAACCTGTCACGAATACGAATCGACGTAAAAGTGACTACTACAAGATAACAAGTTGGGGTTATTCAGTCGAATGTCACTTTCTCATTTTTTTCTTACTTCTGCAATCTTTAACACAAAACAAAATTACCTTAACTATACGGCATTTGACATCAACCTTTTTTTAAAATTATTTTAGACTCCATGTATGTCATCACCATGTCAGAACGGAGGCACCTGTGTAGCGAACTACAAGTATCACTCGTTTGACTGCCGTTGCAAAGAAGGGTTTTATGGAGAATTTTGCGAAAAAGGTAATTGATATTCAGACCGGGGCCCCCGTTCAAGTTAGGACAACCAAACTTAGCGGCTTTACCTAACCGTTATCTAGGAAAATTTTTAAGGCGTTGTGACGTGTAAGTCAGCATTGATGTTACCATGGCAACCGAGTTTTGACAGCCATGTTTTTCAAAATTTGTATTTTCTCTAAAAAATAGGTTTTATTTCTTTCTTTTACTGATTGAATTATTACGTTATCTACTTCTTTTTTTTTCAGTTGCCAAGTCCTCATGCCAAGACGTTTATAATCAGCCCACAGAAAAGTGAGTAAACCTATACATAGTAATTTAATTGATGAGGATAGATCAGTTAAGGTCCGGGGGATCATTTGGAGTGCGTCAGTACTGTGTTTAAGAGCCAAAAAATCAGCCGTCAAGCCTCAAAAGCGGAATACAATTTGTGTTGCAGAGAAAGTCGATATCACTTAATTAATTGTTAGAATTTGTATCGTGGCTGATGGCTTCTATTTCAGCCTTTGTTCTCCACTCTGGAAACTTAAGGTTATTAGTAGAGACCTAACTCGTAAAAACTGTTGAATTTTAAAAACAAATGATTGGTACTGTTCAGATAATAAAAACTATAATCTGTGAACACCACCGGACCATCCTTCACTAAAGGCCCTCCGGCAAAAAATGTTGTTGATGAAATACAGTGGAACCCCACCCGCTTTCGCTTAATACGAACACCCGTATAAAACGAATGGTTCGTTTGTACCGACAAAAAGTTCAAATATTTCAGTGCTCATAAGTAAACCTGGTTAATATGGAAAACGAACACTTTTCTGTGTCCCGAGTTACAAACTGATATATAATAATTATCGTAAACTCTCCCGGGAGGTCCTCAATAAAGTTTTATACGGGGAAGCTCTGCCCTGGGTCTAACTATTTGCAGATTGGTACTCCTTTCGTACTCCTATCTCTAATGGTTGAGGGTTCGAGTGGCTTGCTGCAGGCATTTTATCCGCAGGGGGTACTCAAGAAAGTTTTATACGGGGAAGCCCTGCCTCGAGGTCCATGTCCATACCTTTCCACATACCATGTTTGACAGAAAAAGTACTCCTTTCGCATACCATTCCATCCCTTTTGGCGGTTAAGGGGTGGGGTGGCTTGTTACAGGCATTTTTTCCCCAGGGGGTACTCAAGAACGTTTTATACGGGGAAGCTCTGCTCCAAGGTCCATGTCCTTACCTTTCTACATACCATTTTTGACAGAAAAGGTACTCCTCTCGTATACCATTCCATCCCTTTTGGCGGTTGAGGGGTGGAGTGGCTTGTTACAGGTATTTTAAAATTAGCTCAGACAATACAAGGGTCAATGGGAAGAAAGACTGCCTTATCAAAATCAAACTTGCGCGCTATTTTGCAGTTTCTTTTTTTAGTAACAAAATCGTATTAACCCTCAGAAACCTGTAATTATTTGAACAGGGTTCATTGTATGCAGTTAGTACGTGATTGTGACAAGGAAATAGGCAGTGGCAGCCATATAGGTAGCCAGTGGTTACCAGTGTCCATAAAGCGGGATTGACGACATGACATTTTAAGACTTGGGACCACAGAAAAGTACCCGTTTTCCGTATTAACCGTTGTCGGTATTAAACGGGTTAGAGAAAATATGTGAGCATCAATAAACGTGCAAAACTACTGAGTATCTGTGTAACATAATTCTGAGTAGTTGTCAAAAACAACCAATCCAAGTCTTACAGGTAACTCGCGGGTAAAATAAGGGTTCCTTTGACGTCAGATGGGAAAAACATCATGCGCACCATTTTCGCGGTTTTTAGGTCGCCCCTTTCCCCTTCCTTCTGAACGTCTGTTACGCTGTTTAGCCATCTTCGATGTCCGAATTTAATTCCTACAAAACACTTTATTAAAATACACTTTATTAAAGTTAGTTGAAGAGCAGAACAGCTTGGCATCATAAAGCAAAAATAAATATCAACCTGTGCTGGAGGTGAAATTATATCAGTTCAAAGTACATTAATCGTGTAGTATCTCGCAGTAACATGATGGGGAACCTGAGAAATTTAGATTTAACTAAGACTGTATTGAATTCCATTGATTCATTTATTTTTGTAAGAAAAAGCGAACCTTTTTTTTTTTTACAACCAGTTAAGGTACATTCCATTTTTTCTCTCCGACAGTTAGGAGCTGGACTCAGTTGGTCACTCTCCTCCTTGACTCCAAACTAGTTTCAGTTCTCTGTCACTTTGGAAATTTTGGATGCGGAGATAGAGGATGGACACCGGTCATGAAAATGGACGGCAATAAGGTAAGACATTTGTGTACGTTTTCCCTTAGTTTGGCGAAAAAAATGTGTTATTAATGATTAAATACAGGTTTACCTCTGTTAGCCGTAATTTTCAATTATCCTAGCCTGCGAATACAGCCGTTTCTCCTTGCTCCTCGTTGTTAGGGACGTTTCATCAGGAGGAACGTCTGCACCTCAGTGACTGAAATTTCATACTAATGACGTCAAATTGCAAAATTTTCTATGGGAGCATAACCCCAGCACTCCAGATTTGAGGCGCCTTCGGCGCTCTAACATTTCTTCTCGTGCGTACATGATAAGTCCCTGGATCTGAAAGATTTAAGTATTAAGAACACCTTGTGTTGTTTATTGCGCTTTTCAATACGTGAATAATGTGTGAGTTTAATTCTAGGAAGTCAATCCGTGTTCTAATGAATGACTGTAAAATATAAACCCCACTTGCACGTAGATTCAAAGTTCTCTAACGTGAAATTTGAATGTTGCCACCTCGGAAACAGAATAACTAGTGTATAAAAGATCACAACCAAAGCGTATGCGATCAATCAAAACTGAATTAAGTTCTCAGCCGCTTCTATTCGAGCCCATATTTTAGTTCCTTACAGTAATCATTAACGAGCAACATGAGCATGTTTTGCGTAAAAGTTGCTCGCACTAGGCTAAGGTCGAAATAAAACCCAAGGATGCAACTGGCCGGTAAACTCGTCTGTTCAGCACTTACCTCAAACTACCACCACTGCGTCGTATGTTTCGTCCTGAATACTGTAACTCTTACCTACCACTTGGGTTGAAATTGCTCCTTACTTCGGTCGCGCCGAAAATTCAAGCGTTATCGGAAAGAAGTTACCGGAAATGTTGAAATTTCCCGCCCGTGAAAGCTGTTGTTTCACGTTGATCGTTTTTGCCCTTACAAGGCAAGAAACGGTCAAAAATAACAATAAGGAACAATTCCCATTGTTCTCGAATTCAGGTCACTTTTCTTGATACGTGGGCTTCTGGAATATCTCGGTCAGTAGCAGAGGTCAACCGCCCTTCCTGTCAGACGATGTGAAGGTTTTCATCAAAACACGGAAGCCTGGTCTCTGTACTAGCGAATACGCGAGAGTTAAATTAAGGTCTCGGTAAATGAAAATTTTAGTACTTTGCTCGATTTTGTTTTTTGGGATTTTTGGCATGAGTGGGTCCTAAATTTTATTTTGGAAGAAAAAGAAAATCAGAAAGTGCTTTTTAACCCTTCTAAAATGAGCCTTTTCTGAGCTAACCAGCCAAGCGTGGACCTCGCGCTAAATCTTTAGAGCTGATTTTCTCTCACTCTATTTTAGACGCAAAAATCAAAATTCTCCGACCTCCAGTCGGGACAGGTTTTAAGCTATCGCTTTGAAACTTTCAGATATGATGGATAATGATATAGACTCAAAATGTGTGTGAGGAATTTTCCGATTTCCCTTTGTAACTCATTTTATGCCAGTTTCTTTGCGTAAATCGCGCTCGAGATTCGACTTTTTAGTTTGAAATGCAATAATTCCGCTAATACGAGACATATGCAAATTTCCTCACACCCTTTTTTAGGTCTTTTATCTGTCAATCAGATGCAGTAAAAAGGAAGTGAATATTTAACAACGCGAAAGGGCTGGAGCTTCAGCAACAAACTCGATACCTCTGAGTTCGAGAGCAAAAAACTTAAGCGCCTTTTGAAATTCGATGAAATAAAATCTTTCATAAGGTAATTTAGTCTTTTAGCTTTAATTTGATATATAACTTGCCTTTGTAGCGAAAATACTCGCGCGACTAGAATTTTTTTCTGTGGGCACCTCGTTTTCCTTTACTGAGACCTTAAGATAATTATATTCAATTCGGCATTTTTCAATCGCATCAATGATTAAAGAGTGCAGTATTTGTTTACTTTTTATTCTATCGGTGACCATTAACGCCATTTCGCCTGCTGTGGCTAATTTCATTTTATAAAGCTGGAGAAGCGAGGACGTTGCAGATATTCTTTTCATTGTAATGGATCTTTCATTGAAAAATCTTTTTTCTTCTTCTCCGGTAAGGATGTTGACTTTAGAAGAAAAACGAAACCTTAATTTTAACTTTTCTTTTTAAAGGACATTTTTTCTATTTCTTCCTTCTTTTTACCATAGCAAACATTTCATCACGAAACAGCCTTCTGGAGCAACAAAGAAACTTTCAACCTTGACGGAGGGAAGACTGGGTTTGACTCACGAGAGACTAAACTGCCCTCCTACTGGAACACTTCCTTCTCCAAGATCTGCCTCGGCATGAAGATCGGCCAAAAGATCAGATTTATTGTCATCAACAAGCAGGCGAACTCCTTGTACTGTCTGATCGCTGATGGGCAATACCGCAGCACCTCACTGGGTCGTGACAAGTGGAAGTCACTGATTGGTTCTAAAGCCTCCTTGCAGTACAACTGTAACAAGGATGGATTCAATGCTGTTTGTGATGATCCTCGCTTTTCCAAAGCAAGAATCGGTATCATTAGTAACCAGGAAGACAATTGCGCCTCTTGTGACTCTAGAATTGGATTTGGTACTGGAGGATATCATGATAATAGCAGCTCATGTGGAAACGAGGCTACAATCGCTCCAGATAATGGCGAAAAGCATTTTAAGACAATGGGATATATTTTGGTGCAGTAAGAAGAAACTTATCTGGGTTTATTTACCTTGGTGCCAAACGAAAGCTAGCCTAACTAAACTCTAGATCCTGTTCGTTTATGTGGATAAACAATAGACTATTTCTAGATTGAATTACACTTAACCATAATACATTAGAAATGAAAGACACACTGAGAAACTAAGATTAAAATCATTGGCTAAGTCAGCTTCCATTGCTCCTTATAGTTTGCTGCCCGCAGATAATCTTTGAAGACTGATGTTTGATGTGTACGGCGACGGCAACGAGAACGGCAAGAAAAGCAATGTGTTTAGATTGGCAAAGTAACAACTTTGCACGTGCATCAGGCTCTTTTGTACCTCTTTTTTTCCTGAACTTTCATACAGTCCTTGAGTCAACTCCAAAAACAATTGCCATCATTTGACATGGAATACGCGAGATAAGGTTTGAGGCAGAGCAAATTCACTTTTTCAGTGACGTTTTCGTAGCCGTCGCCTTCGTTGTTGCTTAAGCTCTCTATTGTCAACAACGAGACTAAGATCACCCGGCGGACGATCATGCTCAATCCACTTTTAAAATCCATTTTGAAATGACTCCTGGGTTCAAACGGAGGCTTGATTGCCAGTCGCTGTTTGGGAATGAGCCAAAGCTCATCCTCTGAACACATATTAATTAAAACTGTATAGCTTTATTTGGTCTTCATCATTTCCCGGGATTCTCCTTTTTAATGTTTTTCTGTCAGTAATATAATGACTTAAAAAATATAGATAATTATAATGGTTAAGTGAAAGCATCATGTCTTAAAAGCGACACTTATTAGTTTGTATTATTCTCTTATATTGTAAGGAGAGACTTTCTATGAATTCTTTATTTGCCTCGAATTTCATATATAGCTTTCAAATATTCGCTTTGACTTTGTTTTTAGTAATTCATACTACTGAATTTGCATAAAGAGGTTTTAGCTCCGCAAAAAGGCTCGTACCATTTTATTGTCCTTTGTTTCATTTGCTTTGTGTTCGCAAGGTAATAATTCTAGAAAAAAGCCAACAGTGTTTACAGCTGTCAAAACTATTTGCTACTGACTCTTTTCAACCGGATACGTTTAACTTCAATTGTTGACTTTTAGAAAAAAATCATTAGTTTTCAGAATAATGTCTACTAACTTAAGTTTATCTTTGAATTTAAGCTTTCTTTTTATTCTGCACGACGGCTCCGTTCACATTTGCACCTTTTTACAGATGTAACTTGTTTTAATTGGATAATACTTATATGTATTTGCAAATATAACTTTCTTTAGTCTGTTGGGTAAATAGACGCAAAAAGATGAGTTTGGAATATGAAAGGTTTTGCTGACTTGCAAATTCGAAACATATTTGTTTTGCTGTTAAAACTAGAGAACTATTAATTAGTCCGCGTTTCTTCCTATTTGAACAGACGCTAGCTTGTCTTGCAATTTCATTCATAGTTTGTAAAATACACTGTGCATAAACGCTGTGTTGCTGACCTTACAGCAAACGTAGCTAGCTTTTGTTCCAGTACTTTTACTTTTTAAAAATAGCAACAATAATAAGCTTAGACTGTTCACAGTCCCCCATTTTTCCGTGAGATCGTTTAGATATACCGCGTCTTACCGTCACGGGTATCTTGATTTTCAAATGTACCGAGGGGGCGGACGTCGGGGATTATAGCTAGAGAGGGGGGGGGGGGGAGGAAGAGAAAAATAGATATATAGATATAGATATTTGTAAACACGCGTAATCGATGCTAAACGTGTCTGGCATGTTTTTCATCACCAGCGGAGTTTCTTAATTAATGAATGGTAAAAGGCGTGAAATTCCTGTCACGCCTCCTGAACGCGAGCTGCGGTGATGTTATTACAGTCCCTCTATTTTTCTCGCTTCCTCCCTAACCGCCCCCGTCCCCTAAGTGGTTTTGAAACTCATGCAATATGGCAGCCCGTAACGCAAAGTGCTCGATCTCGATGATCTTACGGAAAAATAGAGGACTGTGAACAGTCTATAAAAAGCTATGACTCGCCTCATGTAAGGGAATCCGGATTCCGGAATCCAGGAAGTTTTTGCTCGTGGAATCCGGAATCTTGGGCTTTGGAATCCGGAATCCAGAACTAAGAATCCGGAATCCTACTAAAGATTGGAATCCGGAATCCAACTTCCTAAAGATCCACTCCAGATTAAATTGAGCTACTCGCTTGTAAGAAAAACCATCCGTGGGGGAGAAATGAATGCGTGACGAACGAACCCCAAAGGATGTCTGCGGGGAGGCTAGTCTATGGAAAGCCTCCCGAGGGTATAGACCTGAACGTGACGACATAATATCAGCATATCTGGTGTCAAAACAATAGTTCACCAGCTCCATATGAAAGGTCGAGGTCACGGCCACATGATTAAAATTCTATAATAGCGAGGGAACCCTTGCTTATGAGCGGCTGGGAGGATCACAAAATTGGGGAGTTTTCAAGGGAACACAGCGCAGCCTTTTTAAGGTTTAAATTGAATTGTTATGAATAACTTCGACCTCTGGCTATGTTTGATTCTCTGTTGTTCACTCCTTCGCTGAACTTTAAAAATCAAAAGCGATTTTATGCGAGCTTTTGAGCTGGCATAGGACTGGGAAAGGTGCACCTGGGGTGAACCTTTTCTTGAGCCTTCCTGGTCTTCCTGGTTCACAAATGAAAATAAACGTCTATGTTCAACAGTTTACCTAAAAAGAAAAAAAGAAATTCACGGACTCCTAGCGCCTAATTTGGTCCTAGTAGTTTCGCTGAGAACAGTTTCATGGTTTCGATAATCTTTATTTGAGAAATAAGCCAGGAACTGTCAGAACCGTACCAATCAGCTGTCACTAAAGTAATTACGTGCAAGGACGCGGTGGGTGCCTTTTTCATTCATTCCCCGGGCATTCGAGTGAAATCTCGCCACCTCTTCGATGTCTTCGATCAGACGGCAGTTTGAAGTTTGTTGTTTGTTGGATTTTTCTTTTCTACTGTTATTGGAAAGCACAAGCAAAAACAAAAGGCTGAGAGAGAAAGGGACCTGTAATACTGTGTTGTGAAATTTTATACCAATTTTTAGCTGACTGCGACACAGGCGGCCCAAACTCATTACATTAACGCGGACGTGACTCTTGCTTGCGAGCGGTGTTGTGTTACAAACGGTTATTTACAAAGGCTTGTATGGGATCGATCGGTTTTTCTTAAAAGAGATAAAAAATGTTATGTTTTTAAATAAAATCGACTTACCTTATTGCCTTGTTGTATTTTTTGTTGTTTGCCCGCGTCTCAGGCCGTTTTGAAGCGTTTTCGGCGAGTTAGCGCTATTTTGGTGTCCCACTGCTAAAAGAAAGACAAGGCAGAACAGTGATTCCCGGAGTGTCCGTCGCTCGAGGCGAATAATTCCACTGGAAAATTACCCCCGGTCTCAATTCCTTCAGAAATTCAAAGCAGAGATGTTGCAGTTCCATGTCCATTCACTCGATTCGCAATTCCTCCCACACATCGTTCACTAGCGATGCTTTCATCTCTTGCTCGATCGGCTTCCCGATTTCAAAATAGGCTCGTCCAAACTGCCGTGGACCCGTTCACCGATCGCATAGTATGTCGGGTAACTAAAATAAGCCCGGTGAGGGTAGCCAGCGGGGCTAACGGGTTTGTTTGTTTGTCGACTGCGGGCCACCCGGGAATCACTGTTCTGCCTTGTCTTTCTTTTAGCAGTGGGACACCAAAATAGCGCTAACTCGCCGAAAACGCTTCAAAACGGCCTGAGACGCGGGCAAACAACAAAGAATACAACAAGGCAATAAGGTAAGTCGATTTTATTTAAAAACATAACATTTTTTATCTCTTTTAAGAAAAACCGATCGATCCCATACAAAGCCTTTGTAAATAACCGTTTGTAACACAACACCGCTCGCAAGCAAGAGTCACGTCCGCGTTAATGTAATGAGTTTGGGCCGCCTGTGACTGCGATAGATCTAAACGTGCCAAATGCAAAGATGATATTTCGTTTGTGTCGATCTGTGGACTGTACTGAAGGTGGCGGCAAGCAAGTCACAATCATGAACAAAAGAAACGTTAAGTTTATAGGTTTAAGCCCGCTGATTGATTTTTTTCTTAATCATAATTGAATCTAATATAAATTTTACGTCGTCCTTGGGGAAAATATCGTATACATTGTTAAACGCTTAAAACGAGCCAACGTGTCAGAAGCGCGCAAGTCTCTCTCGATCTCTCAGTCATCTCAGACTCGATCGAGGATCAGACGGACTTTTCATGTTTTCTGGTTCTACAGTTGTGATTAGGCCTCGTTCACATTGAGGTCGCTTTTGTAAATTAGACCGATCTGAGATCGGTTTAGCCCGTATTTTTTTTCTTTGAAATGGATCCTAGAGCCACCTAGAACGCGCTAACATGAAATAAAACTCGCCGGGGATTTCATAATCTCACACTCAAATCTCTTACGTATTGATGAAGCCAAAGGCGAGATCTGGTCAAATTCGATTTTGTACCCGTGATTGCCTGTCAGGAATGTGACAGGCCATGAAAGAGCGTATGCTTGAAATTAATCCTCAATTTTTAACGTGTTAAACAATCAAAACGTGGTTATGCGCACATCTTAAGTATGAACCAACTAATTTTTGTGTTCTTTTTAACCTTTTTAATATCAAATTCAACGCGACAACTGGGGCCAGATCTCGCCTTCGGCTTCGTCAACAAGAGATCTGGGTACGAGATTAGGGATTTCATTGACCTCTAGGGCGAGGGGAGGGGTGGTTTGCTCTCGCATGCTGTCCAGCAAGGATGCTTGCGTAGCATAAGTCAATAAAGAACAAACAAGTTCAGCTCTACAGTTTTGACTGAGCGCGGGCAAATCAGGCTATCTTTGACTACGTTTTGAGCCGTGTTGTCTATTAAGGTCATTCCCCTGAATTGCATTGCGCATCTGTACTGCGCATGGGATTGCAATACTAGTCACGCAATCTTTCAAGATGGCTACCGTCGGCGTCGCGTCGGCACCAAGTCGAGAGATAAAAAAGGTTTTTTTCTAAGTTCAAAAGAAAAGGGAAGACGAGAGAAGTTAAAAAATATTTGGGCAAGGAAGTGTTGTAATGTGAAAGGTGATGGAGGCGTTAGCACAAAAAAGAAATGCATCGAAGACGGCAGCTGCAACTTTCGAGGCAGACGAGTAATCGAGTTAGACGTCCTGGCCAGAGCCCTGGATAGTGGTTGCAGAGCGTGTGGAAAAGCACTTCATCTATCAAACTGCCATGATGAGACTATCAGTCTGGGTTGGGTCTTTTTTTGTATATTATATGCAGCGATCCGGAATGTGGAGAGGTAAATGCGTGAACCACAAACATCGCATCGTGCCGCCGGTGCTGGTCGCGGCCGACCAATTTTTCATAAAAACACCAAACTTGCCACAGGTAGGTATATTTATTTGATTAGCAGCTTTTATCCGAACATTTTTCCGAGCGTCATCATAATTTAACAATCATAATGCCGTGTAATAACTAACTTTTAAATGTACATGTACTGTGTTTATGTGCAGGAATGTTACACGCGGTATGTAAACGCACTGCTCACGTCGATAAACCTTCCAGCCGTGGGACAAAACACTCTGAAGGCCAGAGAAAGAGAAGTTGGCGCAGCGATTGAGACTGTTGCAAGGAATTCATGTTTAGAAGGGTTACAGTTGGAGAAAGATTGTCGGAGGACCGTAGACACAGAGCAAGTTGTAAAAATCGGGGTATCGTACGACATGAGTACGCAGAAGAGGGGAAAGGGCCACAATAGTTTGACAGGTTAGTCCTATAATATACATAAAGCTATGAAATAATGGAGGCATTTTTGCTTTGCTTGCATGGCATCCATATCAGTAACAAATGTCTGTTTATCCATTTTAAAATACAATATTTAACAAATTCCCAACGATTTTTTCTTTTGCTATAATAATAATAATAACAAGATAATGAAATAGCAGCTCTAGAAGTTAAAATCAATTATTATTTTTACCCTAGACGACAAAATTTCCATCCAACAGCAGTCAGGCAATTTAACATTTGATTTCCTTTAACAATAATATTATTATTAAAACCGAATATTGGAAGCAGGGTGCTTGTTCAAATAATCCTCAAAGACAGTGAATGAGCTAGATAAAATACTAGCATTATTAATCGACAACAATGAGTCATTCATTTAATTTACAGAGGTATTGACTTTTTGACTAAAGTAAATAAAACGAGACTATTTTTTTTTTCCTAGGAGAAGGGTCTATGATTGGGCTATCTTCAGGCAAGGTGGTGGGCTAGCTACAGCGCAAGGACGAGGAGACGTGCAGTATGTGAGGCAGCTAAGAGAAATGGCAAGGAACCGAGGTCACATGACTGTCGGATGAACTGGACAGCTTCCACCAAGGTCCTCACAGAGAAATTTAGCGGCAGGGCAAGAATCACAATTAACAAGAGAATTCTTGAGAGCATTTCGAGTTGCTTTACAGACAAGTAAAATGTAAATCCCTAATATGGGAATGTAAACAAGAAAACAATAAGTTATGATATTTATCTGTGCTTTTACTGAATTAATTATAAAGTGTGTGATGAGAAACTTAGCTAAACTTACCTGTATAGACATGTATATTCTTAGTTGACACAGACAAAAGGTACCCGGAAGTCACCCGAATTCGGCATGCAGTATCTCCTGGTCTCTTGTACGGGTCACCAAAATTCCGAAAATAAGCCCCGGGGCTTGTATTTTTCAAAGGCCCTTTTTGAGGGGCTTCTTTTAGGAGGGGCCTATATTCGGATGGGCTTATGTACGGAGGGAAATTTGCGTTTCAAAATCGATTGAGCTAGCTTGTGGTTGGAAGGAAATTTACCATTTGTGCTTTGTTTTGCTTTTGTAATCGAGGGAAAATTCAAGTACAAGCCCCCCAAACTTATATTCAGAGGGGCGATTTAACAGAGGGTTTTTGCATTACGATTTTGGGGGTTATATTTGGAGGGGCTTATAAATGGAGGGGCTTATTTTCGAAATTTTACGGTATTTCATTAAGAAAGCCATGCAAGTATTATGTAACAGGCAAAATTTCTCGAAATTATAATTAAAGTGTCATATTAAAGTGTCAGATTCAGTATTGCTTGATCTTTTTATTGTACCAAAGTAACTTTAATTTGGTTGCCATGGCGACCATTTTTTCATCATTTTGTCCTCAATCGGGAGCCCAGATAAAGCACCCTTTAACCTGTCACTTACCAACCAAAAATTAGATCTATACAAATAAGTACAGTTAAATTTACGATGTTTTTTCCTGGAAAGAGAAATGGGCCTGCCCACCTGGGAACAGAAAATGATGGCATAGCTTCCAAGCGAATACCGGCACCCCCCTTTTTTTTTTCGCTTGTTTGACTTTACAACCAATAGGCTGCCTACACAAAAAAGAATGGACAATTTCCTATGTTCAGAAAAAAAGATATAAAGGAAAGTATAAAGCCAAAACCCATTTTTTTCAATTAAATTATGGTAACCATGGTAACAAACTTAAGGGAAGTGCTTCCACGACGTATGCGTTTTCGTACCAAAAGCCTTTTGAAAGTGTTACTCTTGTCCAACTCTAAATGTGTATAACCTTATTTCGCACAATCAATAGTATTCTGAGTGTTATCAGGCCTAATTATTGATATAGTCCATGGTGCAAGGCAGCAAACCGGAAGTTTCGAAAATTGCCTCAAAGGGGGTATGTTTGAGCCCTCGCAGCTCGTAAACTAATACCGGCACCCCCCTTTTTTATTTTGATTTTGAAGTCCCAGTATGATGAATAGTTAATATACAAAATTTGAGAAAAAATCTATGTTAAGTTCTATTTCAGGGGAATGACCTTAAGCCACTTTTTGAACTCGATTTAAATGGTTCAGCAACAACTAGACCAAGTAACTGATAGTTTTGGGATTGCAGACTGTCAAGAGTTACGGACTTTTTACCTTTATTTTGACCAGCCAAAAACGTCGAGGCTTGACAGCGTAAAAATTCATTTAGTGGATCAACGTGGTCCGGCCACTGTCCGAAATTTATTTTGAGCTATGTTATCATTCTTAGAAAATTATGTGACACAGTCAACTTTAGACACTTTAGGGCCGCGTTGACAGGGATACCACTTTTGTCAGCTTGAAGTCCAATTTAATCTTCTGCAGTGCTCTTTTTGATTGTCAATCTTTTACTGAGTATATATGCTTATCCCGTCCTAGGAGAAGTGTATTTTTTTGTATTTGGCTAAAATTCGTGTCTTACGAGTCATATGAGAAAGTGTGAAAGCAATTCAGTTAAGAAGTGATATCTAATGCGCGTGTTCTACGGCTTACTGTGTCTCTATAAATGAAAGTTTTACAAAAGAGCGGTAACCGAATTTAGTTTTTTGCGCTATGACAATGATTCCAATAAAAAGTAGAAAAAGAACGAAAAACAATGTCCTAAAACATGTTAAGAACCAAGCTTTTCTTCGTCATAGTTTGGAGGTGATTAGCAATTGGCGGCTTTTAACGTTTTGTTCAGTTCTATTACTTCCGTAATACTGTTTTATTGTTCCAAAAAGAATTTGCAAACATGATTCGACGCGTTCGACAGGACAAGAAAAACTACGAATGTAACGACATACAAACAAAAATGAACCTTCTATTATATTATTGGTGGATAGCAAAAGACTTGATTAACCTTCGCTGGTTTCTGATATGGCATAGATAGGAAAAAATTGATTTGGAGTTACAGACGAACTTTGTTAGGCCGTTTTCTTGCAAATTGCAGCTCGATTTTCCCTGGCAATGACTGTTTTCCCAATACTTTATTATGTAGCAATCAAATGAATAAACGTGAATATTTAGGAATGATTTGTAAGAGTTTCTTTTGTTTCTGCTAAGTAACCATTTTCTATCTGCATAACTGAAAATAGAGTTCGCAAAAAATAGAGTATAAGTGAAAAATAGAGTCTTCAGGTCAGTCTCACTCTCTACTAATCACTAAACCAGCTCCGAGATCCGAGATCCCTAATCATATGGAGATTTGGACTAGATCAATCAAAGGACAAAATTTAAAATTGCGATGTCGGTGTTTTCGCCACGTTTTTTGCGGTGATGCGATGTTTGTTATTTTTTTCGCGGTGTTGCGGTGCGGACAGTTCCCCAATGTCCCCCTCATTATTATACCTTAAACCCTTACGGAACAGTAATACATTTCTTCACGTAATTTACAAATCGAAAAAGAAAACAAACTTGTTATGCATTCTAAACAACGTCTTTAATATAGCAAGATTCGAACACGAAAACGAAATGCGAAGAAAAGCATTAAAACAGAAAAAATTGGAATCCAGCCCTTTTGGAATCCGAATCCACTGAGTTGAATCCGGAATCCAGTACTCAGGAATCCGGAATCCACAGGGTGGAATCCAGAATCCAAGACTGTCATGGATTCCCTTACATGGGGCGATATGACTATCTCTTTTATTTGATTTTCATTTACTTCTATAGTAAATGATTTCTGTTTACATATCTATTGTACTTTTTGTTTTCAATGGTTATTCAAATCATATATAAGTAAGTTGCTTTGAACTGATTTTTCGATTACGTTGCCCATTAGATCGAGTATTTCAGAGCTGATTACATCGCGGATTACATTTTCTGAGCTAAGTTACGCTACGTGTACAAGAATAAACGCTGTTGGAACCAAAGTTCAGTTTGCCTTTGCTGTACCAGTTAGTGGTTTGATACCTCAAGAGAAGTGACGGCCCTTTCCCGCCAGCGAGTTGCAATTGAGTCTAGTTTCCCCCCCTTAATCGAGAGTTAAAGTGCCTAGTTCCCGTCGAGTGTTCAAATCGTTCAAAAGTGGAAAAACTTTCCGTCACAATATATCCTTACCATACTTATGCTTGTACACTATGAGGAAATAATTATAAATAAATGCTCCTCTGTCTCAAGTCGTAAAATTACAAAACAAAGCGGTTCGTATTATAAATGATGTTCCTTTTAATTAATGGAATCAATAACTCCACACTACGTATCCCTTAGCCTTTTGAAATTTCCTGATACTGTTAAACTGAACACATGTATGCTTTTTTTTATTATTTCTACCGTGAAAAGTTCTCTAATATTATACAGGGTTGTCACTAAGGGCCGGGGGCCGGGGATTTCCCCCGGTTACTCAGAGCATGGCCCCCGGCTACTTTCGTGTTAAATTAAACCAAAAGAGCACACCTTTGAAACACACAAAGACTATCCATCAAACTAAATGCAAGTTTCATCGGCAGCAGGTTTAAGTAATTTTGAAATACTCACGTACAAAAACTAAGAAATGTCGGAAAAAGACATCTGACTTAGCTTTGGTACTAGTACACACGCGCGACGGTAACGAGAATGCAATAGGTTTATTGAGTAAAACAACTAGTTTGCACGTGCATCACGCTTTTTTGTACATTTCTTTGCCGTTACTTCACGACTACGACGTGAAAATGCCTAGTTTCACGTTTTATGGAGGACGTAAACAAGCGGCGACAAACTTTTCTTTCTTTTCTAAACCTGAGTGCGGTCCCAAAGACTCAACTCCTGGGAAATTGGCCTACATAGCTATTTTCAGCGAATTGAAATAAACGCGACAAAGTTGGAAAAAACGCCAAT